GTATGGCATTTAAGCATGCAAAACAGCTTTTTTTAACAGTTTTACTCTGAAGCTACAAGGCTAATGTAGGTAACAAGTAATAATGACTCAAAGATGTGTAACATACTGACATAAAGGTGATATAAATGGACAAAAGTGCGTAGCTGAAAATCTTATTACTCACATATCTTATATGTACACTATGCAGTGTCAGTCTATTTGAGATTACTTGCAATGCAGGTTAAAGCAAGTGCATGAATATTTAGGCATGCAGTTTGCACAATGCTGTTAGCTTTTATTAGCTACATTAGCCTTGTAAGTCCAGTGCAAAACTTAAGAAGCAAACTTTCAACACCAAACAAGCCCAGATTTAGGCCCGATCCCATTTCACCCCTCGCCCCTAACACTCAGGCCTACCCCTCCGTTTTGTGTGTTCATGTCTAGGGGTGGGGTGTCCCGATTCTTGTTGAGATAGAGGGGTAGGGTGAAGTGTTAAATGACCCTCCAAACAGAGAGTTATGAGAAAAAAAGAAAAACCGGCAAGATGGCTGAACAAGAGACCAAAGAAACCCACAAACGTGAGAATTTTCTCTGTTAAAAAATTACAATAACCACTGTATTATCTTAGTTTAATGTCATTTCAATGTGTTATGGTCCTTTTCTTCACAAGAAGCATAAAAATAATAGTATGCTAATGTCTTGGTAGCTAGCTAACTTTCCCGTTCCACCTTAAATAGTCCAGCAGTTCTGACACCTGAAGCGGCAGAATGTAACTGCTGCTCCATTTAAGGTGGAACTGGAAAATTCGAACAAGAAGCTGGAGAACAGCTGACTCAGCTTCATATCACTGAAGAATTAGGGGTGGGTGATAATAAATAATTGCCCCCCTTTTTGAAAGCATATGATTCCCTAAATGTAACTAAAGCCCAGCAGTGAGGAGCTGAACTTTACCCTCCTCTGCTGTCACTGCAGACTGGCAGGGTCGCCTACAGAGCAGCGCTAGTAGCTGTTAATGAAGTAATGCTCTTTTTATTTGAGGGTCCCATTTCATAGGAAAGATTTCAACCACTACTTATAACTCAGTTCCAAGGGGCAAGGAGACACTCAAAAACAAGGGGTAGGGGTAAAAATAAGAAATGGGACTGGGCCAAGTGTGAAATTTGAGCCTGCACAAACATGGATTTTCAACACTGACCGTGCAGTGTAGTCCAGTTTTATTAGTCCTGAGCATCATTTATTCCGATTTGGCATTCGTGGTGCACAGTGTGTGTCTCGAAGTTGAGGCTCCTCTTCGGCAAGAACATCCAAAGGCAGCTGTTTCATGTCAAACCATTGTTTATTATTAATAATTATGGTACAAATAAATGTAACAGATTTGAAGCTGTTAAGGAATACACAAAGTGCAGCTTAACTGACCAAACATATATTGCTCTATATATTACGTACAGTTTTCAGTCTATAAAATTTAAAGCAACCTTAGCAGGTTTTATCAGCTTTGGTTTCGAGGTGTGGAGAGTTACAACAATGGTCAACTTTTCATACTTGTCGTTCTGTGAATCTGTGTGTGTGTATGTGCATATGCGTTTAGATGTGTTAACTGTAAATGTGTGTGTGTGTGTGTGTGTGTGTGTGTGTGTGTGTCTTTTTTTTCCTAGAAATCTTAGTCCAAAAACAATTGAGTTCGGTCACAAAGCTCTCTTTGTTCCCCATCATACAGGGCAATTCCAGGCAACACAACTCATCAGTGTACCTCACACGGCAAAGGGAAGGGACCAACAAACAAACAAACAAACAAAACATGTTACAACAATGTCGAAAATGGTCTATACATGTGACCCTGGAAACCACAGCATGGAACCCAAACAGAACCGGTAGACTCCTGTTTGCCTTTGGGAAGCTACCATGACTGGTGGAAACTACTTACACACATATACACAATTCCACAAGTTTGTTGTTGTCGATTTTCTTTCCTTCTGAAAAAAAAAACGTGTCGTATTAACGTTGCTCACTACGTACCAGGACAGTCATGAGGTAATCTTTACGATATACTTAATTTCATCCATTTTCTTCAAACAGTTAAATATTTCAAGATTGTCAGCAACATTTAGCCATTTCTCTGTACAATGTGCATAATACTATTGAGCTTTGGTCCAGCATTGAGAAGATGAGCAAAGGCATAACTCATTTCTTTGTCTCTTGGTTGACTTTTTTTCCTTTTGGTTACAGCTTCATTGTTAAGCCTCTGTACAATAGTCTCTGCAACCAACCATAAAACCAAAGCTTCTCAGGAATGGAAAAGGAGTATAAGGAGGTGGGAGGTGGGGGGGTATTTCAGCCATACTGTCTGCTGGAAGATTTCTGAAAACATTTACTGCAGTTCAGAGCAAAGAAACCAGACTTATGACGTATGAAGTAAATAGGAAATGGATAATTAAGCATCATTGTGATTCTCCTGATTGCCTGTTTTTGCTTGAATATCACAAACAAAAGGTTCTTTGCAGTAGGAACTGACCTAAAAATGGTAACTAACGTTGGAAAGGTGACCTCTGATAGCAATATTTTATACTGCATTCCAAAAAACATGAGTTTGTTTTACTGAAACTGCATTCTTTTTTATTTTAAATGGACACTGAGTTCTTACAAATTATAATCCAACATAATCTGGCAAATAGCACAATCCATAAATTTCTCAGGACATTTAAAAAGCATACTAAGCTGCCAACGTTTGATAACAGATTACACTGGAATAAGCTGCATCTTTCATTGTTCTGTTCTTGCCCAAAACAACATCTCTCCTTGTTTGAGATCCGTCTGATTCAAATAACAGAAGCAGTGGTTTTTTAGTAGCGTAAGTCAGTAAGTGTTCTTTAATCATGGTGGAATGTGAAGCTACTGTAGGTTGTTCATGTTCATGAAATAAAACTAAACTAAATAAAAAGCCAAATAAACCACACATCAGGTATTTAGGATTTGCATGAATGGTTCATCGTTAAGGGTTCTGCTGAAAGTCTTCCGAAGCTCTATCGTTGTTTACTGAAGTACGGTGGATTATAACTTGGATGTATGAAACTAGAAGTTTTGCTCCTCTGATGAAATTTACTGTCTGGCACATACAAAGCAAAGCGACTCAACAAACTTACCAACAAAAATGGGTCTAAGGCTACGTTCACATTACCAGGTTGAAGTGGCACAAATCTGATTTTTTTGCCCTAATGTGACTCAGATCTGATGTTTTCAGGGCTGTATGGACATGCAAATCTAATCTTTTCAAATCTGACCTGAGCCACTTTCATATGTGGTTCTAGATCGGGTACGTATCCAATTTGTGGCCATGCGACCTTAATGTGAAGCTCAGATCGGAATTCATGTGCTTTTTTCCATCTTTCAGAGTTACTCTGGCAGCAGCGCCGAACAGAAGTTAAAGTCTGTAAATGGTGGAAAAGCAGCTCATCTTACCTTTTTCTCCTTCGTCTCGCTCTAATAATGAAGCTGAGAGCTGATCAGAGTTAATTACCTTCTCAGCGAAGCTCGTTCTGCTCGTTAGTTTGTGCTGATGATGAACGTGATTCGTTCACGTGATGTTACTGAGTAGGATGAGCTCATGTGAGTCATTTCAGGACACCAGTTCGTTCACATTAATGACAGATTTGAATCACTTACCTAAACGAGTGTGAACCATCCTGTCAGAGAGATCAGATTTGAGCAAAAAATCGGATTTGAGCAATGATGCTTGTAATGTGAATGTAGCTTTTCATATGCAGTCCTAGATCGGATACGTATCCGATTCATGTCCACGCGACCTTAATGTGACGCTCAGATCAGAATTCATGTGCTTTTTTTCCACTGCGCCATCATTCAGCGTTACCATGGCAGCAGCGCCGAACAGACATAAAGCCTGTAAACAGTGGAAAAGCAGCTCATCTCACCTTTTTCTCCTTCGTCTCGCTCTAATAGTGAAGCTGAGAGCTGATCAGAGTTAATGATCTTCTCAGCGAAGCTCGTTCTGCTCGTTAGTTTGTGCTGATGATGAACGTGATTCATTCACGTGACGTTACTGAGTAGGATGAGCTCATGTGGGTCATTTCAGGACGCCAGTTCGTTCATATTAATGACCGATTTGAATCACTTACCTGAACGAGTGTGAACCATCGTGTCAGAGAGATCGGATTTGAGCAAAAAATCGGATTTGAGCGATAAGGCTTGTAATGTGAACGTAGCCTAAGTGGTTAAAACAGTTTTCAAATCGTGACAAAAGCTCCCGTTTAATGAAGCACTCATTGGTCGTGTCCTGCAGATTGCGCAGGCCTGAAGCAACTGCTGGAGCAAAAGGTTGGAAACACATCAAGGATGAAATGTTTTGAGACGTTTTGGCCCAGGCGTAGCGCTGTCCTGGGGCTGAACAATTCTTTTCTTTGGCTAGAAGGCTTTGGCAATAGAATGACATACTGTAGCTTAAAGCCACGGCTGCAACAACGTGAGTACACCAAAAGCTCTTTGTCCACTGAGAATCCCTTTGCAATATGGACCACCTTTGACATACAACCCATTTTTACCAGAGATAAGTTTCTTAGAAATCATAGTTTTACAAACAGGGGTGAGGTGACTGGAATATGGACAGTAGGCATATGATGCAGACATCTCTGAGACAAAGTTTCCAAAGAGTTTGTGATTTCCGTTTTTGAAGACAAAAATTATCTTAAATATTTACATATAAACCCAAGTGATCAAGTGAGACAAAGATAGAACGTTACACACACCCCGCCACACATATACTCTTTTTTTCTTTTTGTCAGTATAAATGTAAAAACTTCGAACACATTTACAAGTTAAAAAATCTCAGGAATCAGATGCAACAGACTTTGGTAGTAGTAGTTTCTTAGTTGTCCTTGATTTTAGGGGTGATCTGTATTCTAAATTCTTGTCTTCATCCTCGAATTTCGGTCCTACGCTCCCTCAGAAATTGCAGTTTTGACTTTATTCTTTTTTTATTCATTTATTTATTCTTTTTTTTTATTTTTTTGGTTTTGCTTAAGTCTCTCACTGTCACTTCACTGTTGCTAATAATATTTCTGTTCGCTATCCTTGTTGACAGTCCGTCGCGATACGACGGGTAGGAAACGTCCTGGTCTTTAGTGTCCGGTCGGTCGGTGGTTTAGACATTGGTACGTGGTTCGGCACTCACATCAGATACCGGTCCGGCTTAAGCTAAGGGTGTTCTTCCAAGGTGTCGGTCAGAGGGTCCATGGGTGCCACCGGTCCGAGTTCCGGCTGTTTCAACCTTTTTATTGTGTTTTTCAACGCCTGCCTTTTGTTGCAGAACCAGACGCGCACCACCTCCCGGTCGTAGTTCAGTTTCTCCGCGATTTCGGTCATCTCCTGGCCGGAGGGGTGTGTGTTCTTCTCAAAGTGGCTGTTGAGGATCTCCAGGGCCTGCGGGGTGAAAGAGGTCCGGCGCTTGCGCTTTTTGGAGGGCTCGCTGCCGATAAACTCGGTCAGGTTCTGCATGCCGGAGCGATGGCGGGCTTCCGCCTCGGCCATCCAGCGCTCCAGCACAGGCTTAATCTTCTGGGCGCTTTTTGGGGTGATGTCCAACTTCTCAAACCTGGCAGGATATAAAAGGCCAGGGTTCAGTTTGCCTGTCAGACTGCTAGCTATAGTGTTCTCTTGGGCTTCCTGTGGTAGGAAAAAGTGGCTTCTCAGGATGGTGTGTCTGGGGGAGAATTGAGAGAGAACAAGCTTACTCGGGTGCCCTGACCGGGCGAGGGGTTTTCCCGCCTGACCCAGTGTCCCAGGAAGGGCCTCCCGGTCCGAGCTGCCAGTAGGACAGAGAGTTTTTCTTGCTGATCTTTTTTTATCCTTTCCTTGTTCTTTCAGCAACTGCATGCTGGGAAAGAGCTAAAACAATCTAGCAGTCGCTTTGTTTGAACCATCCCTTCTTTTGCCAGCTCAGTGTTTACTCTCTGCGCCCACCCTGCAGTGAAGGACCAGGGAGACTCTTCCACAGGCTGGAAGAGAAAAACCAGATGCTCCAAAAAAACAAGACTAAACTCCATAATTACACAATAAAGTGGGCTTAAACTGTATTCTTCAACTCTAATGCACAATAATCAACAGATTTAAACAGAACACATTGAACAATATGGTCTGATTTCACATTCCCTCTTTTCGTGAGAAACATTAATACATTGTCAAGTAGGTAGCAGAACATGCACTAAAACATCAAAAACATTATTTATTCACATTTACGGCTTAAATAATTCACTCTAATGCACAGACATTTTAATACACCAGCTTCTTTTCATCCTCAAATAACCCTCCTGTTCTTTAAATGTTTAAAGCTAATACATTTTCACCACTTAGTTTTGAATATGCCTGCAAGTTTATGGGGATTTTAGGGATTTTAGAGAAGCACTTGCTTTAACGTGACGTGAAAGATCAGCTTTAAGTAATGTATGTTGAATACTTTATTACTAAAATAATATTTTTATTATTATGTAAAGGCTTGTCATTTTTATAGTTTTGCGGTATTATTTTTGCATTGACATTGGACTATTTCTGACAACATTATCGGCCTTGTTTCTACACTCACTGTCCATTTTATCAGCTCCACTTACTATATAGGTGCACTTTGTAGTTCTACAGTTACAGACTGTAGTCCATCTGTTTCTCTGCATACTTTGTTAGCCCCCTTTTACCCTGTTCTTCAGTGGTCAGGACCCCCATGGACCCTCACAGAGCAGGTACTATTTGGGTGGTGGATCATTCTCAGCACTGCAGTAACACTGACGTGGTGGTGGTGTGTTAGTGTGTGTTGTGCTGGTCTGAGTGGATCAGACACAGCAGTGCTGCTGGAGTTTTTAAACACCTCAGTGTCACTGCTGGACTGAGAACAGTCCACCAACCAAAAACATCCAGCCAACAGCGTCCTGTGGGAAGCGTCCTGTGACCACTGATGAAGGACTAGAGGATGACCAACACAAACTGTGCAGCAGCAGATGAGCTATCGTCTCTGACTTTACATCTACAAGGTGGACTGACAAGGTAGGAGTGTCTCATAGAGTGGACAGTGAGTGGACACAGTGTTTAAAAACACCAGCAGCACTGCTGTGTCTGATCCACTCAGACCAGCACAACGCACACTAACACACCACCACTACGTCAGTGTTACTGCAGTGCTGAGAATGATCCACGACCAAGATAGTACCTGCTCTGTGAGGGTCCATGGGGGTCCTGACCACAGAAGAAAAGGCTAACAAAGTATGCAGAGAAACAGATGGACTACAGTCTGTAACTGTAGAACTATGAAGTGCACCTATATAGTAAGTGGAGCTGATCAAACAGACAGTGTAGTGTAGGTACAAGGAGGTAGTTTTAGTGTTATGGCTAATCAGTGTCTGCTGAGCCAGTTTATTAGGCACTTTGTGTCTACTCATTGGTCATTTTATCAAGTGGACCTACCATATAGGCTGTAGCCCTTCTGTCGCTGGGCACTATTTTTCAGCCACCCATCTACCCTGTCCATCAATGAAACGGATATGAAATGGAATGGAAAAGTCGCAGTAATGAGCTGGTAGAAGAATATCAGACACAGCATCGCCATCCACTACCATACCACCATGCTGCTGTGCTGAGAACGGTCCACCACCCAAATAATATCTGGTCAGCAGTGATGCTATTGTGGTGCCTTTCCATTAAACGACAAATGAGACGATTAATTTGCTGTATTATCTAATAATCTACACTGTTAAAAAACATGTTTTTTCAAGCCTTCTTAAGTAAAGCCAATGGTTATATTTACTGGTTATATTTATTTGCATGCTTAAATGGTTCTCTGCATGGTGAAATGGTTCTTCAGACTGATGGAGAATGTGTTGTATATAGTTCTATAAAGAGCCCTTTTGAAAATGGTCCTATATGGCACCAAAAAGGGTTGCTTGTGACAAGCTTGACATCGTTGCAATAGCAGAACCCTTTTTGGCACTATATAGAACCCTATAACATCAATCTGAAGAATCATTTCACCATGCAAAGAACCTTTTAAGCATGAAATGGTTCTATATGGTTCTAAATAGTCCATAGTCGTTACTGAAGAACCCTCAAAGAACCATCTTTTTAAGTGTGTTTGTAGTTACCAGCAGTTCGTCGCGCAGCAGAACTTCGTGCTTGATCGCTTTTAACCATAAATCTATTACAGACTTACGAGCTCCTGTCTACGGTCAGAAACAATCCACAGTCAGGGTTCTACTCTCCGCTGGTTCTGCCTGGCCGAGTTATACAGTGCTAAAACGCATAACAAGTCTCTGAGGTGCTCTAATGGAGAGCTGTGTCTGTGCATTCGCTGTCCTGCCCTCCTCCTAACCAGCTCACGGACACCTGTCAGAGAGGCCGAGAAAAGCCCGGCTCCTGCTCTCTCCAACAGCACACTTCCCCTCAGCCCGCTCCTCCACAGGCTCCTGCGAGGACGCCTTTGATGGAATCTTAACTGGCATTTGAAGAGACGCCTCGAGCAGGGGCAAAGGCCCCCCGCTCTCCCCGGACCCCAAATGTAAGAAGACACTTTTTTTAACAGAAGGATGAGTGACGGGCTGGTGTGAACGCTGGACTGAGGAGGAAACAAAGACGGAGACGTGGCACAGCAGGGCCTAACTTATTTATCGCTTTATGAATTATTGCATTTATTCTTTCTTTTTTTGGGGGGGGATCGTCCTATTCGCCCTGACCACTGCTGTGTTTTTGTGCCGGTTTAAAGGCCGGTATATGGGGTCAGTGGAAAGCAGTGGCATTATAACACAACTAGAGATTAGAAAGAGCGTTTTGTTCCTGCTGGATCAAAACCTTGTAATGTTTTTGGTGTATTTTTAATACAAATTTTTAAAATGCCAGCTGCCCTTTATGTTATTTTTTTCTTTTTTCCTTAATGAGACTATTGTATCTTTTATATTTGTTGCCATGGTAACAGATTCACCTACCATGGCACTATAATTTCTCTACTTTCTCCATAAAAGTGAAGCTGCGCCCTTTGGTAGATCTTTCCTATATATCTATATATCTATATCTATATATATATCTCTATATCTATATATCTATATCTATATATATCTCTATATCTCTATATCTATATCTATATATCTCTATCTATATATCTATATCTCGTTTTGGTGCCCTTTTCAAAAAGGTTCTATATAGAACCATCTACAACACATTCTCCATCATGGTAAAAGAGTTCTTTGCATTATGAAAGCGTTCTTCAGACTGTTAGAGAATGTGTTGTAGATGGTTCTACGTAGAACCTTTTTGAAAAGGGTTCTGTATAGCATCAAAAAAGGGTCCTTCTATCCTTACAAGCTTGACATTGAAACAATAGAAGAACTCTTTTTGATGCCCTTTTCAAAAAGGTTCTATATAGAACCATCTAGAGCACATTCTCCAACAATCTGAAGACCCCTTTAGAACCATGAGCACAAAGAACCCTTTGCATGATTAAAGGGTTCTTTGCATTATGAAAATTTGGTGCTGTCTAAATGTTTTTCAGTTTTTGACATAATTTCCTGTTACTCTTTATATTGTGTGTAAATTTCATGATGAATGGACCAAAAGAAACGGCTCCAAATGACTTGGAAAAAATTCTGGTTCCATTGACTTACATTAAAAGTAAAGTAGGTTTTTTCCTTCTCCTGTAAAATTAGTATTTTGAAGATACAAGGTTTTGTTACAATACCATAGCTGCTACATTCTTTTATATCCACCCATTTTTATTTGACTTTTTTATCATTTTAAATTAGTAATTTAAACTATTTAAATCATTTAAATAGTCTTTCCTTTAAAATACTGCATTTTATATTTTACATTAGCTCATATTTTTGTTTTAATCCTAGTTTAATCTTTTTATTTTTTTTTGTTTATGCACCATTAAGACTGCTGCCCAATTTCATTGTGCTCTATGCAATGACAATAAAGTATCTTGAATGTTGTTCCGACAATATATATATATATATATATATAAGTGTCTAAGTATGAGATGCTCTCAGTTGTGACCTGCTTTGCCTAAGCCTGAGATGTTGTAGATGGTTCTACGTAGAACCTTTTTGAAAAGGGTTCTGTATAGCATCAAAAAAGGGTTCTTCTGTCCTTACAAGCTTGACATTGGAACAATAGAAGAACCCTTTTTGATGCCCTTTTCAAAAAGGTTCTATATAGAACCATCTAGAGCACATTCTCCAACAATCTGAAGACCCCTTTAGAACCATATAGACAATATATATATATATATATATATAAGTGTCTAAGTATGAGATGCTCTCAGTTGTGACCTGCTTTGCCTAAGCCTGAGATGAACGTGTCCCATTATCCTGCTGAACAGTGGCTGTTAGCAGACTTGAGGCATGAATCCGTGAGTAATGTCATGAGTAATTCCTAAAGAGATGAAAAATGAATGATTAAATATACTCGTTTAGGGGCGCTAAGCATCCCTTCTGCCTAATTTGTCGTGCAAATTATGAACAGCAGCTTCCCATCCTGGGATATGAATCATTGATGGAACGTCAGTGTGTTGGTCTGGATTAATGGTGTACATTCATGCAGCTTAAACGTGGTAAAACGATTCCCATCTCGGAATTATGCGGAAGGACGACATCTCGCAAGCGTCCGTGTGCAGCGCTGCATTCTAAGTAGGGTTGGAGTCGAGGATGGTGGCGAATCGTTTCGTGTGAA